ATTTATGATTAAAAATATAATAATAGCACTCTTATATCAATAATAATATTGCTATAATTCATTTTAAATAAAATTTTAATATTTTGTGCAGTATTTTACTTCGAATTATTTCATAAAAAAGCTAAAAAACTAGAAAACAATTTACAAACAAAATTATAAAATTATGAATTTTGTTTATATACCAACAGATCGAGATCTAAGTATATGTGTATCATATTTTTGTTTTTTTGTGTGCAGTTCTACATTTTTAATTCCTAAACATTTCGTGGCTTCCTGCACAATTATTATTTTCGTTTTCATCAAGGAAAAACTGCTAAAATGGAAGCAGAAACCAAAAAGGAATCACAGCATAGTTAATTATGCAAAATTGTACAATTATGTTAATTAATTGACGCACAGGGCGTCTGAATCGTCCTCCAGGAGCGCTCCGCAGTCTGAAGCGTATTGGGCGCAGGTCCGTTTCTGGCAATTAGTACCAAGTCGAAAGCTGTTTCAGCACAAAGGAACCAACCAAAAAAAAAAAAAAAAAAAAAAAAAACAGAAAGTAATGGAGTCAAGGGAGAAGCAGAAATTGTCGTGGCACGCTTCCGGGCCATGCAGACAGGTGGAGCATGGAGCATGGAGCATAGAGCATGGGGCGTGCAGCGCTGAAAGGATTTGCCCCACAGGATATGCTGAAAAAAAAAAAAAAAAAAAGAAACAGGCAACAGCAATTGTTGGGCATAAGCCCCGCCCCTGTGCCCGCCTCTGACCCTTTGGGGCGCACAGTTAACTTTACATAATTAGCAACAAATTCGTTATGTTTAGAACAAAAGCGCCGAGTGCTGCGAAATTTTGCCAACTGCCTTTATTAATTTCATAATTCACAAAAACGGCAACAATAGAACTAAAGGTCGAGGGGCTGAGGGTGAAGGGAGATCAGGCTTAATTATTGGAAAATTAATGAATATGCCATGTAGATGTTTTCATTAGGGCCACGCCTGCCGCTTTGTATAGCATTCACATGATTAATAACTCTGTTATTTTGCCCTTTTTTCTGGTTGACTGGGCGTCTCTCTCTCTCTCTTTCTCTCCCGTCCGCCTGGCACAGCATTCCACTTGTGCTGCAACACATTTCCATTTTCATAAATTCTTTGGCACGCCAAACCTCAGCCCACCCCAGCCCCCCACTCAAACATGTTTCAATTTGGTTGGCAGCAAATTCTGCCATCGCAACAGCGAACCCCTCCAGGTATGCAACATGAAGCCATGAAATATTATATGCAACGGTGAAGCTGACTTTTTGATCTGCTTTGCGAATGTGCTCAAAATATGCCAGAAGGGTATATAAGTCTTTCTGAAATCATGTAAATAATATAAGCTATAAAGAATGCTGAGTTACATCAGATATCTCATTGTTAAAAAGAGCAAAATTGCAGATTGCAATTGGAAATCCTTCGAGCATAATTACCATAGTTCATATGCCAGTTGTGTATACCCATTATTTTCATGGCATATGCACATAAATATCCATGCTGCATATTTGCCCGGCTGTAGCCCACTTTCATGTGCGCCATAAAAGGTAAATATTTGCACTTGTAAATGACATTCGTATATGTGACCCCAGCCCACATTTTGTTTATGCTTCTGTTTCGTTAACATCCGATACCCCGCTTTCATATTCCAAGTACCGTGTGTTTTACTTATAAATCGGCTTAAAAAAAAAAAAGGAACAGAAAGTGCATACGTTTTGTGACCTCCTCTGGCGCATATGGCAAAAGGGGGATTTCCGTCCGCGGGGTCACGTACATTTCTGCAGTTTACGTACGCATTTTACGCAGCATATATCGCATTTCATGCCAAGTCAAGCCAAGTCTTGGCTCGACTTATTTTTAACATCGTTAGTTTTTTTTCTTCCTCGTTTTTTTTTTTTTTTGCTGCCACCGCCGCTGCTGCCACTTGTTGTATGTCAGTCTCAGCTGCTGAGATTTATGAAGTGCCACATGGCCGAAGGGGGACACAGATTTATCTATGAACCGAAACGGAAAGCCGCCTGAATGAATGCTCACTGTGGCAGCAGTTGCAAGCTGTTGTTTATTTACCCCGACGACTGTACTGTTCGTGAATGGTTTATTACGGAAGGATGGTCTAGTTCTTCACGGGGAGGATAGATAAGCAAGTAGGTGTTCTAATGTAGATAAGATCTATATCATATAAACAAACAGCGAAAGTACATATTTCATAAATTATTTTTTATTTAGTTCAATAAATATTTTTATCTATCGATATTTATCGATTCAATGAAATACGTAAATCGATTTTCGTTGGAAGAATTTTATTTCGTCTT